ACCCTCATTCCAAAAGAATAAGTGCTGGTTGGGCGACATAACAGGTTACCGCTACTGCGTATTCCAAAAACATTGTGCGTCTTTCGGTATTAATTTATCTCAAAACCCAGCATTTTAATTTCTCAGAAACGATCATTGCGGGAAAATTGTGGGCCAGGACTAAGATTTTTGAACGATCGATGCGATAAAACGATAGTTCGAGGAACAATAGAAGCAGGAAAATGTAACATTATTTTATATGGGGTGTATCCGGGACCGAACAAAACGGACGATGCATCCGGGAAAACGATAGTTCCGGGACCGATGGATAGAGGTTTCACTGTATAACTGCATGGAACTATTTTATTTTACAATACCCATCACAGGCACCATGGGTCAGATGCATTAAGGGATAATAATGGTCAGACATAATTAACCTAACTTTGAGAGTTATTCACATTGGTTTCTTTCTTGTGGTTGCTATTGAAATGCTTATTGTGTTGCAGTTATTGGTTATTCCAGTCCTGGGGTCCCATAGGCACCACAATTAGAGACAAGGAGATAGAGGAAATGCATACTTTGAAACAAACGCTTGAAAAGTTTGTGAAAATTTACAAGGAAAAGACAGGGAACAATTGGTGCAGAAGAAACATTCCTAAGAAAGTTCAAGACTGCTACTACCCTGTCAATGTGGACTACTCTCAGGTAAGATTTAATTGTTATGAGATTGCTGCAATCCTGATTCTGATATGAATAATTCTAGCCCTTAAAATTAATAAGAACACACTCTGCTAAAAGTCATTCCCCTACAAATAACATATGAATTATAATGGAGCAGTGATCAAGAATGGTGGATCTGATACCCATTGAACAGCCTTTGCAAACCATTCTTCTGAATGTCCTTCAGCTGATCTCAATATTTGTACATCAGTTCATTCTGTGCTTTTATTTTAGAATTGTCATTGCTGACTTCCATTTTCTTTGATGGGCCTGGTCTATCATCAACTGCATCAGCTTTTTCTTTCCTTCAACAGTGCAAGACACACGTCTATAAACAAGTAGATCCTCTAACCTAACACTGCAAAATTGAAAGCTCCACATTCAAACACTGCAGTTAAAAACATAAATAAAACAGAATAAAATAAAATAAAAATACCACAGATCGTACTTTCAAATCATAGAAAAACCAAACCATGAAATCTACCATACTATTTTAACAACCTGAAACACCAAGTGTCACTTTAAATTCA